GCTTTCTCTTAAGAATTCTTTAATTGCACATCTCAGTCTGTCCCCTCCCACCACATACTATGAAGGATAAAAATACTTTCAGGGTTGTTTTAATAAAGATTACTGGACAATGCATGTGTGGCACTTAAATATGTACAATACTTTTATTTGTAATACAAATAGTCAACCAATAAAAGAATTATACTGACATGTAATTGTAAACAATAGCAATTTTTTGTTGATAGATTGTAAAAACATTTACATGCATAAGTGTACATTTAAAGCAGCTTCTACTTGTAACACGATACTGAAGCCAGGTTAGAAGTTAGAGAAGAGAGGTATTTCGATTATCAATTGTAATAACAAATCAATCCTTCATTCTTGCAGACTTGTTTTGTCTTTCTTGCTAAAATCTAATTATTAATGCTGTTTTACCCTCTTGGCAATTAGAGCCGGTTATTTGACTCTCAGCTATTTTCTCAAAAGGATATAAACAGGAATGACAGGAGCAACTGCTGGTGCCTTATAATAACCCATCTAACAAGAAAAGTCTTGACATGAAGACTCTGAATTTTTCTCTAGGGGCAGATGAAGCAAATCACATATTAACGATTTTAAGGGCACTTCTACCTTTATTACTTTTACATTTATTCCTTAATTAATATATTATTTATTATGTTTTTATTCCACCTTTATTGCTTTGTGAGTAATTCAAGGCAGTAGACATACATAATATCCCTTCCTCCTCTTTTTCCCCACAACAACCATCCTGTGAGGTGAGCTGGACTGAGAGAGAGTGACTGACCCAAAGTCACCCAGGCAATTTTCACACCTAAGGTGGGGCTACAATTCAGTCTTGAGGTTTCTAGGTCAGCACCTTAACCTCTACACTGAACTTGGTCTCATTCTTTGGAGGGCCTCTCTATACAAGGCAATTCAAGACTTCTATAAATCCCAGGTTTTTTTTTAATATATAGTTATTAAACTCTGCAGAATACCATGTCATCATAGGATGAACTTTACTCCTCCTGAGTTTTAACCATATCACAGGCCCTCTAACAGGTATGCTAAGGTGAGATGGACTTGTCTTCTTTCTGTTTCTTTTCGACTGGAGATATGAAGACATGCAGAGCATTAAGCTGCCTGAATTTTTTAAAACTTTCCTTTTTGCATTGAGTAAAAAGATGTGGGATATTCCAGTGGAATTGAAACCTGCAATTAATGAAGAAGTGCCTTTTCCAAAACTTCCTTTGGCTTAAAAGGTATGATTTAGAATTTGTTGTTTCTTTTTCCCTACTACAGTCTGAAACCATAGTTTGAAGCATTAGGAAAGGCTTTTTTTAAGGTAGTGTCTCAAGTCAATATTGACTTTTGGCGTTTGCCTGGATCAGACCCTGCAGTTCTCTTGGCAAGATTTTAGAAGTGGTTTGCCTAAGGTGGAACCCACCGTCTCTGTTTCTAACCAAGTGCCTTAACCCAGGGTGAAATGCTCCCGGTTCGGACTGGATCACCCAATCCGGTAGCGATGGAGGCGGGTGGTTCGGAGAACCAGTAGCAAAAATCCCTGCCCCCCCCATGCCCAGCTGAGCCGCACGATCATCAGAGGCTTTTTTTTACTTTTAAAAGCATTTTTTCTATAACCTCTTCGGCGGAAAAATGCTTTTAAAAGTAAAAAAAAAAAGCCTCTGATGATCTTGCAGCTCAGCTGGGATCATCAAAGGCTTTTAAAAGAAAAAAACCCATTGTCTTTTAAATGCCTCTGACGATCCAAGCTGAGTTGCTTGATCGGCAGAGGCATTTAAAAGAAAAAAAGTCTCTGCCGATCAGGCAACTCAGCTGGGATCGTCAGAGCCTTTTGAAAGCATTGTTTACAACCTCTTCGCCCAAGAGGTTGTAGAAAAAAGTTGTTTAAAAGTAAAAAAAAAAAATTGGCCGCGCCCACCCAGTCACATTACCCCCCCCACCCACCAAGCCACACCCACAGAACCGGTAATAACAGATTTTAGATTTCACCACTGCCTTAACCCCTACACCAAACTAGCCCTCTATTGAGACAATGCTTAGTTGAAAAATTGCTACTTTCACAGCTTTCACTGGGATTTTTAATGAAATGAAGAATAACATGTGGTAGCCAGACAGCATCAACCCATTAAAAAAATATATAATTTTTGGGTGGTGGTGGTGGGAGGGGGGAAAAGGTACCAGACAAATGTTCCAAAGGAATTGACAAATTAACTATATTTCCTTTTAGAGTGGATTGAGATTTTTGTTATTGTTGCTCTAGAACTTTACTTTGCAAGAGGTTCTAACTGAGTGATATTTTTTTTGCCTGCTGTATTGGTCATGTGAAGAGATGGTTATGATCCCAGCAACTTAAAGTCAGGAGTTTGATCATTGGTGGGTTACTTTCAAACTACTTTGGAGAAAATAAGAGTGGAAATGAAGCCTGAGATAATGCCCCAAGAAGTGGTTTGAAGGAGATCAGTGACTGTCATTCAAGACTTGAGATGCTAGTAACAAAGAAAGAAAATAACTACTTGTCCTGAGCTCCTGCATGTTCTGTAGTAACCCTCACCAGAAAAAAATAGAAATAAAAATAGCCTGGTGCTTTGCATGACTACCAGTGCAGAGCAGAAGAGATCAGAAAACTGTCATTTGTTTTCTGATAAAACGCATCTCAATTTCACCTTGCTCCTTTTGTCTGAGCTGCAAAGGACAATTTATAAAGCTGTCAAGCTAGAATTTCTTTTAAAGAACTGAAACTCAGGAGACAGGAATAGGGATCTTTCCAATGAGGAAAGCAAGCCACTGGTTTCCCAGGGGTTTCAACTAACTAAACCAACTGAATCAGAATAAATTAGCTCAGCTTTTCAGCACTGTTGGCATTATGAGAATATAGAAGTCTAAGTGTGCTTCCAGATTAGTGCAGAATCACATTAGGAAGCACCCAAATGCTTCAGGGACCAAGAAATTATCCATTTCCTATCAGTTAATATATTTATTTCTTCTTCCCATTTTTATCCCTGTTCCTAAAGCTTACTAAATGCTTAATATGATGCTCATTTATATGAGACTCCAGCTCTTACCATTCTGTTTGTTGCGATTATAATTTAGATAATATGGAAAGACCTACCACCAGACGACCTTATAATTAGCAAAATATTAGAGTGTGCAGAGACAAGTAAATTAACGCACGAGATAAGTGATGATGAAAATTCAGATTATGATACTGTGTGGGGAAGATGGTACGAATGGATAAATGATAGAATCAAGGAAGGAGTTAAAGGTGCAGAAATTAATTAGAGATGTATAGTATAAATGACACCAGATATTTTTTCATGTATATATGTACAAACACTGCGAATCCGATGTCAAACAAAATTGTTATTATATTTTATCTGTCTTAAAAAAAATCAATAAAGTGTAAATAAAATATATATATATATATAATTTAGATAATATGGACTGTGGATAGTTTTAGTGGCTATAATTACAAACTGTTTGTGTTGGAGTAATACATATACACAATTGTTTTCATACTGTATTAATATACCGGTATGTAGCAAGCAATTTCTAAGTAAGCAATTGAATGTTCCAACTGTTTAAATACCAACCATTTTCAAATGGTGCAAAGGGACCAGTGGCTCTCTCTATATGTTGAGGAGCAGAATGTTTGATGTTTATGAAGGAAAATTGTAGTTTTGCATCATCTAAAAAGTTGCAGGTTACCCAGCCATATAGTATACATCCTGAAGACAATAGCAAAATTAAAATGGGAAGTACACAGGAACAGATGAATATGGTCGTGAATATTAAAATTATAGTATTGTGGTTTACAAAGAATTTAAATAAAAACAATATTTTATAACATAAATTATAATATAGTTTTGACTGGCTATTATAAATCAGCTTTTTCAAAAAAGGAATCCTGAGACTTTGTTGCAGCCATTTTATGGCTGGATTTATGCAGCATAGCAAGCTATCTGAAATGCAAGAGTCCCTACATACTGTTCTGTTCTGTACTGTTCAGGTAGTCCTCAACTGAAAACAGTTCATTTAGTGATGGTTCAAAGCTACAATGGCACTGAACAAAGTGACTTATGACCATTTTTCACACTTATGACCATTGCAGCATCTCCATGGTCACAATCTGATCACATTCAGATGTTTGGCAACTGACTCATATTTATGACAACTGCAGTGTCCTGGGCTCAAGCGATCATCTTTTGCGACCTTCTGACAAGCAAAGTCAATGGGGAAGCCAGATTCACTTAACAACCATTTTACTAACTTAAACAAATGGGATGATTCACGTAACAACTGTGGCAAGAAAATGGGGGCAAAGCAAACTCACTCAACAAATGTTTCACTTAGCAACATAAATTTTGGCCTCAACTGTGGTTGTAACTCGAGGACTACCTGTGTTCACTTTTACTGGTTCTTTCCAGATTCTCTGCACATGCCTAAATATATTATGCCACGTATTTGGGGGCTAAACCGTGAAAATCAGTTCCAGGCTTAAGTATACAGACACCCAGAAATTATGTTGGTTTCAGGAAAGCGGGATATCGCTTGCTATTCAGATACTGCGGTGTGTGTATGTTAAGGCATTTATAATGGCGTTTTTTGTCTTGGAAATATTATGAGCTTTGGCTATTCCTCGTGTAGGTGGGGTGGGGTGGGGAGTCTGACGGCTTTGAGAAAAGTTACAAAGCGGATTGGGAAAGGAAGCGGGAAAGACCCGAGGTCGCCGTTACCACGAACTAAGGCGAGGGCGGCTATGAAAGCAAGAGCAGAGGCGGGACCGATTCTCTCCGTTTGGCGGAACCCGGAGGACACTCTCTACAATTTTGTACGTGCTCTATGGTAATGCGGAAGCCAGGAAGGACTCTACCTTATTTTCTAGGGACGGTGGGGTTGCCTCGGTTTCCAAAGGCGAGTTTTAAGGTGGTTTTTTTCTTCTTCTTTCCCTTCCCTCCAGGTGGTGGAGAGGCAACGCGAGCGTTACCATGGTTACCTCCGGGCCGGTTGGCGTTGCCTGTATCGTGTGCTGGTTGCTTTGTCTTTCCTGCGCCGGGCTTCCCTTTCCTGTCATGGAACGGGAGGGAACCTGGTAATTTCTGAACAGTACAGTACTCTGCGGCCTGTTTAGGGTAGGTAAAACAAAAAGAAAAAAAAAAAAGAAATTTCCCCTGGCCTTCTGTCGGTGAGGGTTAGTTGGAGGGGGTCGAGAGGGGAAGAAGGCTACTGCTGCCCCTTGCTTAAATAAAGAGGGGGAGGGTGGATAATGATGGTCGCTGTCACGCGCCTGCACGTGAGTATTGCAACATTTGGTTTAGTTAGGAAGCGCCTGGGTTGGCCTTGGAGCCTTGTCTGGGTTGGTTTAAGCTTCGGATACTGCCTGTCAAGTCTTTAAACAGAGAGGTTTGCTTCAATCACTTCTTCACCGGGGTTTGACTCTTTCTCAGGTAGGGGATTGTGGTTCACCAGTCTCTGCTTTCATGGTTGTGTTGGTTAAAGTCCTTCTGAATTAGCATGTGTTGAGATAACTAAATGTGGCTTGAACTCTCTGGTTCCCAAGAAATTATCATGATTTCTTCTCTTTTTTTCCCCCTCCCCCCCCACTGTCTTTGCAGATGGCATCGTCTGCGCCCAAAAAAATAATGCTTCAGAGTCTAGCACAGTTGCTGCAGGATTCTGGTGAGGTTCTAATGATGTGGAGAACTTTTCTTTTGAGATATTTGGGAAATGGCCTTAAGCTCTACTCTGGAACGGAAATAAATATGGCTATCCTTGGGTTTGCCTTTGGGTCTATGCAATGATTGCTTAAATTAATAATAATGGTTGCATGTTGAAGCTCTGGGTTCAGGCGCAGCAGAGTTTTAAATAGGAGAAAACATTTAATTGAATTTCCATGGCTAGTATATTTACCAAAACTCTATGAGTGTTTTTCTCACAGCCTGTACTTGTAATAGATATCAAAGATAATCCAAACTCAGTGATACATATATTAGGTCAAAGGAAGATAATATTAGGACCAGGCTTTACCCATGTATAGGTTGTCCTCGAATTATAATCACAATTGGGACTAGAATCTTGGTCACTGAGCAAAGCAGTTGTTAAGCGAGATATGTGACTGCTTTGTTTAATGACTGCAAGTCTGGCATTCCTGGTTGTGATCAAGTAAATTTGCAGGTTGTTAGGTGGACAGAGTTTCACACAAGGAACATAGGGTGTCTTGTGGGTGGTGAGAGAAATCTGGAAGGATCTGCTCAGGACCTGAATATTCTGTCTGATGAAAACCAAGCAGGATTTTCAGTTCCTGAACAGAGAGACATTTGTGGGCAGCCTGCCCCATTGTGCTGAAGTATTCTGTACTACTTTCTCTACAGTACTGCCTCTTTGCTTAGAAGCTGAAAATCCTGCCAAAATCCGAGTAGGATTTTCAGTCCCCGTGAAGAAACACTTGTGCATGGCCTGTGCTGGGTGTCCTGGGGCAGCCCACATTAAGCACCCTGTGCTCCTTACCTTCCACACTGTTTCTCTGCTTTCTGCTTGGATTTTGGTTTCCTCTTGTCTTTAGGGGCTGACTGAAAGAGTTCAGCTCCCCTTCCATGCACAGCTGGGAGAATCCTTCAGCGGGGTGCAGGAACAGAGCTCAAATCTTGAGGATTTGAGCTCCATTTCTGCATCTAACTGAAGGAGTTCAGCTCCCGTTCGTGCAGAGGAGGAAACTCCTCTGGCAGGACGCAGGAGCTGATCTCACATCTTCAGGATTTGTGCTCCATTTCTGCACCATGCTGAAGGAGTTTTGATCCCCTGGTAGGTAGCTCTTTTCAGCCCTCAGATGTAAGAGGGAGTCTTGTGGGCAAGCAGCAGCAGCTTGCAACCTTCCCTGCTGACTTCTCCATTGACTTTCTGTGGAAGCTAACAGAGAAGATTGCAAATGACAAACCCATGATTGTGTACTGCTTGGTAACCGATTGTAAATTTGCACAGGTTGCCAAGCACCCAGATCGTGATCATGTGACCACAGGAATGGTGGTTCAACATTTTGCTGTAAAGCTCCCTTTCGAAGGCTGTTGTAATTCCAGACCATCATTAAAGTTGTAGGTCAAGGACTACCTGTATACTGTTAAATAAGTTTCTCCAGAGATACATTTTTCACCTCTGTTCATTCTTCGTTGAGGAAGGTTCTGTTCGGTGTTTGGGTAACAAAATGAAACACAAATTGCCCAACTACTTTTTATGGTTAGCTTATATTCTCTGCATGTTATGTACCCTGAAAATTGGATTAGATCACTAAAACAGAGTTTCAATTAATTTAATATAACTATACTTACCCCTTATGCTTTCTAAAACATTTGAAAGTATAGACTCCAGATTTCCCTAAGTGTCATTTCCCAAAAAGGAATAAATGTTTCATCTCTGCAACGCATTTCTCTTGATTGTGTTTTTCATGTATACTAAATGTAATTGCAGCTTTTCCAGTTACCTACCAGTAGTTGTGTAATCTGGGAGAAGTCCTCATATCATGGCAGTGAATCTAGTGCTTCAAATATAAAAGGAGGTTGTAGTTCAGGAGAGTGGAATATACTTTATACATCACTCTGTGGAATGTGTAGAGTAAGATTTTCAGTAGCTTGCATCCCATGCCTTTAAATATAAGACTTTAGGCCAGGTATTGCAGTAGAACCTGCTCTCCAGACACAACCCAGTATCCAGAAACTTGTTTACAGTAAAAGCCCTAAGACAAAACATGGCTTTATTGCATATAGGTAGAAGACATACACACAGAAATCAGGTGTGGTCTTTCTCGGTATCTTTTGTACATCCCAGGTATATTCCTTCTTGTCTTTTCAAGACAATGATAAAGTATCCCTGTCTTCCAGGTGTTGAGATTGGGAGGTTTAGTGTTTGCATAGTAATTCTGCCTTGCCTGATAACCATTAGTTCCTCCCTTGCTAGTTTCATCCCTTACATTAAGGGTGGCAATCATGACACTTTAACATTACAGGTCATCCTCAACTTACAACCACAATTGAGCCCAGAATTTATGTTGCTAAGTGGAAAATTTGTTAAGTGAGTTTTGCCCCATTTTACAACTTATCTTGGCACAGCTGTTAAGTGAATCACTGCAGTTCTTAACACAGTTGTTAAGTGAATCTGGCTTCTCCATTGATTTTGCTCATCAGAAGGTCGCAAAAGATGATCACATGACCCTGGGACACTGCAGCTGTCATAAATATGAACTAATTGTCAACCATCCAAGTTTCAATCACGTGACCATGGGGATGCTGCAACGGTCATAAGTGTGAAAAATGATCATAAGTCACTTTTTTCAGTGCTGTTGCAACTTCAAATGGTCACTAAATGAACTGTTGTAAATTGAGGACCACCTGTATATTATTGACCTTTCCTTCGTGCAATTATTCTGTGCAGTAAATATACATTGATCTGTTAATGCTAATGATTGGTTTGGTTTTTTTTTTGTCAGGGGATTTGGTTCTGGATGGTACTAGCACCTTGACCTTGTTCACTTCCACACTTCAAATTCTCAATCAGATCTTTGAGCAGTACCTACTGCCACGAAATCAGAATCATGGCTTCATTGCACTCTCATCACACCCTGCTGAAACATCTGCTATTCTCCAAGCCCAGTTTCTCTTTGATGTCTTGCAAAAAACTCTCTCACTGAAGGTGTGTCCTGAAATGTGAAATTCTGTGTATTAGATGCCTGCTTTGGGAAAAAGCTTGTATCTTGCAGAGGGGATATTTGGATTGTTCTGATATAACTGAATATTACTACTGTACTGTATAATTATGATATAACAAAGAATCTATGGTCTTTAGATGTTGCTGAACAGCAATTTTCAACATCTCCAGCCTGCGTAGCCAATGCTGAGGGGCACTGTAAGTTATAGTTCACCAGCATCTTTGATTGACGGATTATATGTCATCAAGTTTTTTTCAACTAGTTCCTCAACTCAGAAATTTGTATCAGTGCCATTGAAGTTTTTAAAAAGACGAAGTCTTTCACATAAAACATTTTGTTTCAAATACTATCTCTATATCATCTTTCAGCATTGAGAAGCATCACAAATTGCAAATCTAAATAAAAATGTGTGGAAAAAGGGAAGGATCCCTAATGCAAGTTGGTAAGGACTAAATTGAATTAGATAGTATAAAGCTCTTTATGGCTTTTCTTTAGTCTTGAATATTCAAAGTTGGGAGAAATTAATTATTAACCTATGAAATGCTCCTAATGTGAATTTGGTTATTAGTCCATTTAATCTACTGACTGGCCCTACTTTGTGAGGTCTACAGAGAACCATGTGGCATAAAATCTTTTTTAAGGAGCATTTTTAAAAAAATTGCTGGAGTTGCCACATTGGAATTATAAAGGGGCTTGGCAAAGATGACAAGAATTTTGAGAGAAGAGATGTAGAAAATTTGAGAAGGTGGATGTTAGAACTTTCTGGACACTAAAGATTGTGGCAAGAAAGAAAAGATACATAATTGGTTTGTCTGATCAAGATCAAAACAATAGGTTGCTATTTTATATGATTGTTTTTTTAAATTGGGACTGGATGGTGATGGTTATTTCTGGTAATGATTGTTTTTTTTTAACTAGGACTGGACTTTGATTATTTGAAGAGTGGAAATGGGGAGGAATCTGTTTAAATGAAAAGGAATGATTTAAATTGGTTGTAATAGATATAATTTGTAATATTTATGTTGTTATTTCTGATAACCCTTACTGGGCTTTTGCTGATTAATATGGAAATATGAGGTTTTAGAGATGGGCTTATAACGAATGTGGTAAGGTATGGAACGAAGAAGTGTTTGACTACATTTTAAGAGATAGTGATAAATTGTTAATGTGGATTATATTTGCCAAGGATGAAGGGGAAGGTTTATTTTTCTATTTTTCTTTCTCCCTCTCCCTTTTTTCTTTTTCTTATATTAGTTTCCTGGATGTATAGTTCTGCATTTTTGTTTGGTAACAGCATAAACGTAGAATGTCCTCCATTGTATGTGGTGCTTAATTAAATTAATTTTATAGTGCTCAATATAACTCTGATAAGAAAATAATGAAATTGCTTTGCATAGGCTTATTTCACAACAAACATGGAAGTTGATGATGTTCCTGATGGAATTACAATATGTCTAGAGTGTTCTCTGTTCTGTTGTCTAGAAACTATTGTGTGGGCAACAGCAGTTTCTGCCAGGTCTACTTGGCATAAGACTGAGGAGGTGGTGAGTGATTGGCAAAGGAACTAGCTTCCTCTTGGCTGTAAATGTATATCCATGCCATCTGTTCAAGCAGACAAAAAGCAGATTGGGGATCTGGGATGTGCTGGAATCGGTATTCATGATTAGCAATTTAGCCTCACGATAACTGAAGAGACATGTAATGGTATATAAGAAGGCTAGATGAATATGAGTTATCTGATTGAAGTTGGAGGTTTGAGCATTGAAGTTAGTACAGTATTTCAATTCTGCTCTATAGATCTCAGCTGTCTGCCCAGAAGATTTAAACTGAAGCGTGTATACATTTACTGAAATTGCAGATATATTTTAGTAGTATAATCTGGAATGTGTCTTTCTTCTTTCTGCAATTGTTTTCAGCAGGGGAAAATGACAAGTCCTTGGGGGGGGGATTACTGTTCATTAAATATCAGACTTGTATGTAACTCCTTTTTATTTTTAAGCTTTACCAGGAAAAACTTGTGTGAAATAGGATTTTTTAAAAATATCACAAAAAGTGATGTTATTTTTGAGATTTGAATAAAAACAGAGACTATATTATTCTGAAGTCGAGCCTTCCTTTGCCATGTTAATTGTATCTCTTGATCTTGGGTATTTCAAGGTTGGAGATGCTGCATAGGGAAGCGTATAAAACCATCCCATTCTTTTTCACTAGCAGGCAAGAACGGGGATTATATACAGGAGTGGATTGAAATATGCTTCCTATTTTGAGATAGTTATGCTGTGGCACTCTGTAATTTAGTGTATTATGAAATTAATTGAAAAGCTATATTACTATTTAAAGAAACTGAATTCAAGTTTTAACCTTTAAATGAGAAATGAGATAAAGCCTTGGAACTATTCATTACAACTGTTCACTGCCCCTAGTCCTTCGGGAGAAGGGCGGTATATAAATATAAATAATAACAACAACAACAACAACAACAACATATGGTCTATATGAGAACATACAAAGCTTGCACTTGAGTAAAGGTGTGCTTGAATTGTTACAGAGAGTTCACTTATTAAAAAAATTGAAACCTCTTTAACAAAGCAGAAGGGAACATGGTATCTCACCCTCCTGTCATGGAATAGATACTTTGATGATTATCTAAAGCCCTCATGTCTATTTATTACTATGTACTATTTGATGTGATGATAACAGCTCCTGTTGCATGCCTCTGCCCCCTTTCCAAATTTCTATTCTTCTGAAATATTTTTAGCTAAATAATCAGCGTATAGTCAGCCTTTATATCTTTACGAAGACTTTATCATGAGAAGATTGCTGTTGAAATCTCTATTTAAACAATCATCTTTGTTCCATTTTGTTCTTCACTGAGCTTGCTTTGTCATAGCAATTGTTTTGCCTGTAGATTGAGTTTGAGGGCCTTCTAGGTTGTATTTTATGCCTGCTATCACATAGTAGTTGTTAGACTTAGCTTTCACATAACAGAACGTAGAATTTAGGTATATTTTTGGCCTATGCAAGAGTAATTGTGAAAATTATTCTGATGAATTATGGGTTAGGAGTTCATGAAAAAAGGAATGGCATGATAAAGTCGTTTAATATTACATAAAAGACTGCTTTAAATGCATTATTGGAAATCTAGGAGTAATTAATAAATCATGAATGAAATCTACAGCTATCCCATTTCTATTCATTTTTACTTTGAGCTTTGTCTTCCTGAATTTGGTTTGGTGTGGAAAACCAGAAAACAAAATGGGGAAATTGAACTCCATTTTCCCAGATTCCCACATCAGCTACTGTTGCTTCTGAGATCCTTAGATAGGATTATCATGCAAAAGCAACCCCCAATGGAAGTGTATGTTTTAATACTCTCTGTATTGGTTAGCATGTAAGATGTATGTAGCTAGATTAGAACAGTGGAACTCCAGCAACTACATACTTGGGGTGCAACATTACGCCTACATAGAGTACATGCTTACTTCTGGTAGTTTATTCATTCTTTCATTTGCTGGGTTTTTCAGAATTGCTGATGTAAGGATGAACATTTTGAAATGGCACCAGCTTGGTTTCATAAAATTTTGTGGAAGGCAGAACTACATATTTGGAGATAAGATGAGCTTGCAATATTAGATACCTTTGCTTATAGTTGGTGTCACTCTTTATCTTTCTTTCAGCTCATATTTGTTCCTGAATGTTCTCTACCAGCTCCTGTGAAGATTTCTCCCTTTAAATCATTGCGGCGTTTAGAGGTGAGTTTCAAGTACTACCATGGAGTCCTTTTAAGTATAGAGTAGGTTTTGGTTTGGTATTATCTCTGGGAACACTATGGGGTAAAGCAGTACTTCTCCCAAGCATATATAGAGAGCTGGATAGTGAGATATTTCATACCTAAGTCTTTTTTCCCCCAGAATATTTGAATTTTTTTTCCAAAATATTGAAACTAATTTTAGTTTAATGTATGATCTAAAAAGAGTCTTTCTAAATTTGATATAACAATTACATAATAGCATGGAAGATAGGACTCAAAAGAGCTCACAAAATTGTATAATCATACTGTAGCCCTATTTTTTCAAGGTGGTATTGTTTGAGTTAAGGAAAAATACATATGAAATAAATAGAATCCTACTGTGCCAGAGGTGGACAAAGCTGAAGCTCTATATAACTTGTTACAGAACAGCTTTTAAGAATTGATAACTAGCAGAGGCATGGATGAGGGATGCTGGCAGTTGTTCAGCAACATCTGGAGAGAAACAGTTTCTTTACTGCTGTCTAGAATACATATCCCAATGTATATGTATGGGTATAGGACAGGATTATTGAATCTGCAATGGATATTCCTTTATATTCACTCTTCTCTTTTTGTTCCCTTTAGTTGAGATGTGTTCCTCTGCACTATCTTCAGGGTCTGAGGTTTGTTTATTCCCAATTAGAGGCTTTGACCTGTTCCAGATGTGTGAATTCTCTGGAAGTGAGTGGTGATATTCCATATTGGATTTTTTTCTACCATCAGGAAAAGAATGGCTGGCAAAAGATAATGCATTTTGCACAGAGTGTCATTAGACACCTGCATTAATATTTTCCTGATAAGTTTTATGGAACACTGATTTTAAGCAGAAGTTCACATAGACAAAAGGGGAGGGGGATTTTTTTTTTGGCCTTAATAATATTGCTTCTTCTTGGCAGCTTTTTGCCCCCCAAGAAAGGAAAAAATGGCCTTAAGTCTCTGTCATTTCCTTCTCTCTCAGTGAACTTCCTCTACAAATTGTATATTCCTATACCTGATCTGGTCCTATTCTGGTTTTTAAATACTTTTTGGAAAAGGTAATGAATTATAATGAATATCATGTATAGTTTAATAATAAGTACAATTAAATACTCTGTAGAGGGTAGATTGCTGTTTTACAAGACTGTGATTCATGAGCACTTTTTGTAAAAATAAAGTTGTGGCAGTTGTTAAGAGTCATATAACACGAAGATACATTGTATAACATGAAGATACTGCTATGGACTGTATGAATTCTGATATGTTAAAGAATTAAAGTGCCTTTTTTCTGTCAAAAATTTCATTGCAAATTGCAGTGTGATTTCTTGGCAGTTTGCCAAAATTCACTAGTGTAGTTGTTGGGACTGGAAAAAAAGTTTGATGTTAATAATATAACAATATAATATAATATTAAAATTATTATAGTTTCCTACTCCTGTTCAATCAGGAATCTTTTTTCTCACAATCTTCCCTCTTTATGAATGTCTAAGCCAGTGGACTGTAAGGAGACCATTATACCTAGTACCTAGTACATTCAAGCACCACAACAATTTTTCCCCCAATGAAATGGATTTTGAAAGTGCTTCCTAGTTGAAATGTCTTTCGGTCTTGAAGCAAAAACTTAAAAGCAGGTTGCTGAGAGGCATAGGTAGCCACCCTAATTTTATCACCGTGTTATCCATCTTTTTTATTTATAGGAGATCCTTTCTGCATGTGGTGGAGATCTTAGTTCTGCACTTCCTTGGCTGGAATTACATACAGCCAACTTCAGCTACAATTCTATTGCAACCTTGGATGATTCACTGGTATGAGGTTTTTTCTATACAACTGAAGGCAGCAAACATATAATACTCCTTCCTTCTCCTATTTTCCTCACCACAACCTGGCAAGTGAGTTGGGCTGAGAAAGAGTGACTAGCCCAAAGTCACCCAGCCAGTTTTTTCATGCCTAAATTAGGGCTAGAATTCACAGACTCATTGTTTCTAGATGAACTGTTCTGCAAGTAAGGTGTAGCAATTGGTGAAATTGCATGTTTTTTAAAATGGAATACTGGAACAGAGGGTGATTACCAGAAATAAGCACACAACCTGATGGTAGTCTAATAGTCTTTTATCTATCGACTATCTTTCTCATAAAATGGAATAGGAGGGATTTTTGAATGATTGTACTATATATAATAGGCCATCTTCAGTGTTAGATACTTGTTCTTTGAATTTGGTCCATTTGTAATCATTAAACTCTTACTCTTTCTTCTCTCTATTAAGCAATTATTAAATGTCCTGAAGGCTTTGGATCTTAGTCATAATCTCATCCAGGACTGCCAGCACTACCTGACTGTAAGTATCTGGCAATTTATTTATTTATTTATTTATTTTATTCAATATGTATACCACCCTTCTCCTAGTGGACTCAGGGCGGTGCACAACCAGAACTAAAACACATACCAATACAAAATTTAAAATTATTAAAAGAATTACATACTTTGGCCCAAGTTTAAAACAATTCGAATTAAAACCCATTGACAAATTAAAAGCTAAAAAACTAAAAAAGACTTTAAAAAAAGGGGGGGGTTCATGCCAGCCCTGCTTGATGGAAAAGAAAAGTTTTCAGGGCACGGCAATGAGCTCAGTGCTACCTTTCAGAAGTTAACTATGCCAATTAACAGCTCTAATGACAACAGTCTGCTAACAGTCAATGATATTTTTCATCATTTAGGCAAAAAAACTCTGTTGCTATCAAAAGAAAGCATCAAATTTCCTTGAAATGTTCAGTGATATTTTATTTCCACTTACTGCTCCATTTTCTGTGTTTCTACTCTATAAAGTTCTTGAAGTTCCTTATATCTTTTCAACTTACTTTATTAAGTTCAATAATATATTCCTTGTTATAACAATTCTGAATAGGTAAAATATATACCAAAAGTAGAGTTATTCTGGCATTCTGAAAATACACTGTCACAACATTGCCCTTTTTGATTTGTCTTTCTATTTTGTCTTTAAAATTAAAAATGTTTATTTTTATTTTTTGGGTGGGAGGCTATTTTAAATGTTTTTATTACTTTTTTACTTAATTATAGGTATGGGATCCTAGTAATGAATGTAATTATTTTTCATTTGCTTACAAAAAGGCATTTTAGTAGTTTTAATTTCACGTTTATAACATTTAAAATACGGTATATTGGACAAATAAATAAAATCTTGAAATTTTTGTGCCACGATAGTCTTTTTAATTTTTCCATAATGGTAGTTCACTAGTGGTTAAGTATTTATCCTACCCATAAGAATGGGGACCTATAATAAATTCAGATTTAATTTAATACTAGAGACAAATTTCAAGGAACAATTGGCTTTCGTGCTCTGCCACTCCATAATATTATTAGTACCCTTTGTGATTTATGGATGGATAATTCTATGTCTCGGGATTTTTTTTTGCACTAGGTTATGTTTAGGCCTATATAGGTTAAAATTGTTATCTTGACTCCTGAATGCTAATAACCGGGTAGTATAGATGTTTATGGATTTTGCAATAACCTCTTTTCACCTTTCTAGTGAAGGTGGGCAATTGCACTGTGACTTCCAATATTTTAAGATCAAGTATTACATTAAGTATGTCACTGCCAATATTTTAAGCTCAAGTAATATATTAAGTAATGTTTTTAATTATTTATAGCAAGAAAATGGAGAAACAATAAAGTTCAAAAATAAATTCTTTAGGAAAAAATTTAAAAAATCAAGGCTACCATTCCAGTGTAGTATTATACCAAGACTTTAAATCACAGTTGAATATAGAACTATAGAGATATTGGAAGAAAAGGAATGCTAGTAATTGAATTTGTAAGTGGTTATAGAATCCAGTTGACAGAATTAGATATGTTGCTCTTAGTATTTGGAGACAGGAATATTCCATAAGCCTTGATAAATAAGGCCACAGCTGCATCTTGACCAACAGAATGTTCCAATAGTGATTAGCAAGTCAGGTGCCCCTGAAAAAATAAGTTGACTGGCATGGTTAGTAGCTTATCTGTTGTAGGAAACTTTGAATCAAGACTATTTCTGAATTCCTTGTTTGAATATTTTGATTAGAGTGAAGATGAAGTGGGGTTGTCATTCCTGGATTTCTAGAGAATGAAAGCAGTTGGTTATTATCAGTGCACTAATGATACAGCATTCTATAGGTAGTCCTTGACTTACAATTATTTGTTTAGTGACTGTTTGAAGTTACAGTGATGCTGAAAAAAGTACTTACAACTGGTTCTTTCGACTGTTGCAGCATCCTTGTGGTCACATGATCAGAATTTTGGTCCTTGGCCACTGGCATGTATTTATGATAGCTATAGCATCCCAGGGTCATGTGATTGGCATTTGCAACCTTCTCAGCTGGCTTCTGACAAAGTCAATGGGGGAACCTCTATTTGTTTAATGACTGCATGATTCATTAACTGCAGTGATTTGCTGAATGACAAAACAAAAACAATCATAAAATCAGTCACAACTCACTTTAATGACTGCCTTGCTTAGCAATGGAAGTTCCAGTCCCATTTATGGATGTACATCAAGGTCTATCTATGTATCTTTATCCAATACTCTTTTTCTTATATTGAAACAAAACAATGGGGTAAGCTGGTGAAATTTGGTAAGGCAGGGTTCTTGAACATTGTGTTCTGTGTACTTTCCAATAGTATCCCCTTAACAAAGGCAAATGTTAAATTTCAATAACATTCCCTACAAGAGAATTAGCAGGTTACTCTGGAACTGGAATTCTGTAAAGACTGAGGGGATTAAAGTCGTAGTCCAGTTGCCTCCTGCCATTCTCCTTGCCATTCTGAACTTACCTTTTACATACTGTTTCTGGGTGAAAGCTGCTTTTGGTCTGTATTCCCAGTTGGTTTAGTGCTTTGAAATCTTTGGTGAAGTACATGAGAGACCTGTAGGCCTACGGGGCAGGATGGATATACCTTTCCTAACTTGGTGTTGCAATTATATAACTAGATAAATAAAGGTTTGCAGGGGGGTATTCAAAATGCTTTGCCTTCCTCTAATGAACTAACCTGATTTTTTCTGGATAGACATGTCTGGTCCTATGCATCACTTCTTTTACACACACACAGAAACACACACACACGCACACAAAATAACATATGGCTGACATGCATGAGAAAGGAGGTCCAATACATTCAGAAGAAAGTCCAGATTGGAGAAGATGATTTAAATAATCTTAGGGGTTTGAAGGCAAGCCATGGAAAACAATCTTCCCTATTGTTAGAGTTCCAGCAAATGTATTTCAGGTTGAGTGGATCAGCCCTAAACACTAAATTGCTGTGTTTAAAATCTGTATCTTCATAAAAAAATTGCGGATTATAATGAAACAAATTAGCAATTGCACTAAATGCTTCTCGGATGGGAGAACTGCCAGTCCTCCTTGGCCACCGGCATCTTCTTGCTGTGTAGTTACTGCCCTTCTTATTTCCAAGGGCCTCATGTGGCTGTCATGCGCTAGTTGGCTAAGAACAGAGTTAGGTCATATGCAGCATTGGCAGAATATCTAAATATTTTAAGATAAAAAGTGCTCTGCCAAGGACTTTAATCTTTTATGCTTTCATGAACACTTTTGATCAGATATAACTAGCTGATGGGAGACACTTTTGATGTGTTTTCATGAGGCGCCAGGTAAGTGGCAGCATGTAGCCTTTGATTGATCTCACAATGCTATGCAAGGTTGGACTTGGGTTTATATTTGGATAGGAAATATCAGCAGGGCTATGCTGAGAAGGAAATATTAGTGGGCTAATAGAAAGTAGAAAAGAATTCCACAAGAAGGCAATGGAAAATTATTGTTGTTGTTGAGAGAATGACCTGGTTATGAAGTTGCCAAGAACTGAGCTTGATTCAAGGAGAATTTACTTTCAGTGTGAAAAAGAGAATGGAAAAGAATATGACTGAGTAATGTTGAGATTTATCATCTTCTCCTTGCAGGTGCTGATGGAGCTGGAATATTTAAATGTGGCATATAATTTCCTGCCTAAAATGCCTGAACTTGGGCTACATAGTAGGGCTAAACTGATGAGTCTAATTCTACGATACAACCACCTAGCCAACATTAGTGGTAAGGATATAGTGAAAGGGCTAAAAGCTTTAATAAAATATTGGGCTAGATTAGAGACTTGAAACACAGTTTGAAAAAAGGTTGGCTTCTGTCTGATGGTACTTACTCTGCTTGCTTCTTCACAGGTGTGGAACAACTGTCAAATCTTCAACACCTAGATATTGCCTACAACTTGTTGCTGGAGCACTCTGCCTTAGCACCATTGGCTTGGTTGCATAACTTGAGAAGGGTGAGTATTTACCATTATTCCCGAGTATTAGGGGTAACAGTGACTCAGAGTAAGTGCTGTTTAAAACTGTACAGAACCTGGAGAATATGACTAGCCAGTAATAATTGTGGATCACTGATTGGTGGTATTTCAGTATGGGATGAATTCACTCTAAGGTGAGCAAGGGTACTGTAGTTGTGAGAAAGTTGGGTCCAGCATCCTGCTTTAGATTTTGCCATAAAATTTGGCCTGTGGTCATCTCTTAGCCTAACCAAGATAAGGAGGGGATTTATGCATGTTAGCTTGAGACTATTGGGAAAGACAGCCAGCAATTTTATAAAAGGTCACACCAACACACCGTTTTTATATGATTCTGGAAAAATGGAATCAGAGGGGCACGTTTGCAGCAGTGAATATAAGTGTTCTTTTTTTCGTCTCTCAGTTGCATCTGGAAGGAAATCCTTTATGGTTTCATCCAAATCACCGGCTTGCTACTCTAGTGCATTTGTCTCCTAGAGCTATTTCTTGTAATGTGAGTATCCAGCCTGTGTTGTCAGTTCCCATAATTACAATATGAAGAAACAGTAGTTTCATCTGTTTAAAACAGTTGCCAGTAGTTGTATTTAGGTAGCGGTTGGTTTATATATTCCTCATACAGTGAAGCAGCATAGCTGTATGGCTGAATAAAGGAGCTAATGAGTGCATAAGATGAAATTGTATCAGCCAGACATATAACATGTGTTTATTGAGAAATGTCATCACCTTTTTATGAATAATGAAAAGATTGAACTAAAATGATTAGTCAACAGGGGACAGCAAAATATATAAGTATTAAGTGGGGTTAGGACTGGGATGAGAGCCAGTTTGGTGTAGCAAGAAACCGGGAGACTGCAAAATCTAGTCCCATTTTAGGCATGAACCCAGCTGGATGACCAGTCTCTCTCTCTCTCTTACCACTCTCCCTTAGGAAGGAGGGCAGGACAAGGCACTTCTGGAATCTTACCAAGAAAACTGCAGAGACTTCTCCAGACAGGCGCCAAGAGTCAACAATGACTTGAAGGCACCCCCCCCTCAAAAAAAAAAATTGCAGCAGGATAAATCGCAACAGGAATTGGAAGCCTGTTTGCTCCCAGAGTCCCGCAGGATCATGCTATCAAAAGTCAATGTGATTGTGATACCACAATGTGATTGTGGTAACATACCCCAAATCTTCCATTAGAAAGAAAAGGCTGAAAATTGCCCTATCTGCACCACTTAGCATCATTGTATCACTAAGGTAGTACTCCCTTACCAACGATAATTGGAATTGGGACCTCTGTCATTAAGCAACATAGTTGTAAAGCACAACATCATGATTGTGCTGACTTATAATAGTTCTGTCAGTCCCAGTTGCTGTTAGGTAAATCCCGCGTGGTTGCAATGTCCCACGGTCACATGACTGCCATTTGCCACCTCTTGCTGCCTTTCATACTGACTTGGCTTATCAGAAGCAGGCAGTGAAGGTCCCAAATGGTGATCACAGGACTGTGGGATGCTGCAGCACAATAATTGCAAGCTGACTGCTAAGTGCCCGAATCGCAATCCTGTGACTGCGGGGATACGAAGGCCACAATTACAAGGACCTCTTCATTCAGTACTGTCATAACTTTGAATGGTCACTGAATGATTGGTTGTAAAATGAGGACCACATGTAGTTCCTTTGGTCTTTGAAGACCAAAAATATAAGTGCAATCTCCCAGGAAAGAAAATATTATACTCCAGTTTAGAGCAACAAGTTTGCCCCTGATGCTTAATTTGTACTTAAGTTAACTGTAACTTCTCAAAACAGAGTTAGCACCAATTCTGCTTTGCATATTCAGGAGTTGGTGGGTTTCCTGAAAAAAATAGGATTTATATGGCATTATGTAGAGGACAAAAAAATGTAAGATGTTACTTCTGTTCCTATGTTTTATTTTTCTGTGATTACCATATAGTTTCAACATATTAGTGTTAGAAAATATTTTTCATTGCTGTCTTATTTCCTATTTTTTAACCATTCTTCAAGTGGAAAGTAGAATACAAATTCTGATAGGTTTTGTTTTGACAATGAAATGAATGTGTAAATGTTTTACTGATACATATATATTTTTTTAATACCAGTTCCTCCTTGATGAAGAACCCTTGTCTGTCTCCAGTTTACAGGTAGGGAGACCTACATAAATGTTTATTTTCCAGAGTGGTATTACAATGAAAATTTCGATCCAAAAGCTCCTTTCATCTGAAGTAATTTCATTATGTGTTTTCTTTACTGTATGGTAGAATGTGCAGAGACCAATAATACTTTTGTTCATTCAAGCAAACTCTATTTCATTTCCTTTTGTCTGATGATTCCCACTTTAGTGTTAATACAAAGCAGTTCCTCAGAATTGCTAAGGTGGCATTTTGCCCTAAAGTAATATTAGTAATAAAAAAAAAGGAGACATAGCCTCGGAAAAGATCTTCTTACCCATTTATAGACTATTGTGGTTTGTTTTTTCTCCCACCAGCACCACTCAAACCTGAATCGTGCCATTGCTCAACCACTCTGCCCTTCAGGCTCAGAGAGAATTATGATAAACCAGAATCCTCTGGAAAGTTCCTATGCTGCAGACCAAAGTGATAGCCAGTCACCTAAAGAAAGCACATCTGCCATTCCATCATCTCGGAAGAGAACGAAGGTGGTTCTTTCATTTTACATACTCAGGGTTTGGAATTGGCAGAATTGGTTGTGGTGAGGAAGAAGATAGAAGAAGCCTTTGTTCTCCACTGGGAGCTTTTGTTATGGTGTGTTTAGTGGCTGTAAGAGTTAACCCCTAACATTAATGTAATAACTTACACAACATTATGAAAATATCCTTAATTGTTGGAGTTGTGGAAATGTTGCGAAGCCAGTCATTAAAAGTGTGACTGAGCTGAAAGCCATACAGCAGATTGGAATCCCAAATGCTTTCTAAAAAGCTTTCTTTCTTTTCAGAGATGTGACATAAATATGGTGATGTTAATATAACTTAATATTTAAGTAAAGAGCATGAGAGGGTCAATTCTAGTCATTATTTATAACTTGGTTTTGTTACAGGGAAGAATTAAAGTTCGCAGGGCCAGTATTTCTGAGCCCAGTGACACGGAACATGAGTACAGAACTCAACCTCTCTCGGAAGGTGAGATTTAAATCACTATGGACCTCTTATATAAGATAGACTGCACTGAAACTGTTTTCAAATTTTGGAGTGGTTGGATTTATCTTCTCACAGATATATTTCAGCAACATCAGGCAGAGATGGAACGCATGGACAATGTTCGGGATCGTTTTGGGGCAAATTGGCTACAATATAGGCGACACCTAGAAGCAGATGGACCTACAAAGTCTACTGTCCACTCTAGCAGCCCCACAGGAGACTCTCTAGACAGCTCAGGTGGGACATCTGAGCAGAAGAAGAGCACCATGCAGGAGCAGAAACTTCCTGATGCTGCAGAAGGAAAAGACCCGGAACTGCCTGATTCTGAAATTGCAGTGGAAAATCCCAAAGCAACAGCAGAAAAGGATAGATCAATAGCTAAAGAAGATAAAGATCAGGAAGAAATACTGGAAGGTAAATAGTGCTGCTCCTGGGCCACTATCCATTTCTGTGGGTAAGTGAAGACTCTTCAGGTGTTTAAATTTCCACATAGGGATTTTCTCACCCCCATATATATGTCTCTGCACACGACATACTTACATTAGTATGAATATGCATATTCACATGAGTATGTGTTTGTATTATACTCATGAGTATGTGAGAAATGTTTTAAAAGCATTTAATTTTTAAACTAATACAAATACATGTTACACATAATAACAATTGCAAACAAGACTACTGAATTTCATTTCAACTATTATCACAAAAATTATGGAATTTAGAAACAAAACAGTGAATAGAATCTAGACTATGGAAATCATATTTCTGATTTTGCCTCTGTGCCAGTACAAAGTCATCTGAAAGGCTGAGAGCTGATACATTTAATTGAACCAAATTTACCTGGTCCCCTGTAGTATTAACCTTTAATTAATTATTAATTAATCCTTATAGATTATATCTAATGGATATGCCAAAGGCAAATATAGTAATATTGTAAGATGCCCAGAGTTACCCTGAGGGTAAGATGGGCTGCCAATAAATTTAATAAATAATAATAATGTTCCACAAAACTAATTATACTTTCCACATAAATAAATGACAGCCATCCTTTTTTAACCAACTGCTGAGGAGTCCAATATGTCAGAAAATGTTTTTTTAATGGGACTAAATAAATTTTTAAACAATAAGAAACATTCAAACATTTCTTAACACACAAGCCATTGATTTGTATGATATTTCAGTTCTGTATTCCCGTTTATTTGTATATTATCCACATATAGCCACTGTCTTAGTTTTTGGATCTAAAATTTTAGCTTTTGTAAAAAGTTTTTTTAATGCAGATAAAAATTAACTGGGTTCTAAAGTTTCAAAGTTTGTTAAAAATTCAGGATAAAACAAGGAGCACATCTTAAAATAATTTTAACTGAATGTATTCCCATTCATTTAAATAAATTATAAAATCCTGAGTTTATAAGGAAGGGTAAACGCAGTGAAACAAAATATGACTTCTAGACTAAAAAATATTTTGAAAGCAATGCATATATTATTCCTCTTAAATATTTTTCCAAACCTCAATGACTAATTTTCATAGAAAGAACAAATACCTTAGCATTTCTGCTTTCATATGAAACTGGTGATTATAGATTTCCTGATTTCAAAGCATATAAATAGGGTTGTGTTTTTTTCTTAACCAATAATAATTTGGAATGGAAACTAAATATGTTGGTTCAACTGCCTCACTATGAATATTATTACTTGATAACATGGAAGTCTTGGAAACTTCTTGATTCTAACTAGGAATCTACTGATGTTTCTAGCACTTACAACAGCCTAATATATTTGGGCCCTATTGGGAAAGAAATTAAACTTTGATTTTAGGTACGATATCATCAGAACTGGCTGCTTCTAAATAATTCTTATTTTAAAATGAAAGGAAAAGTTTTGAAGTAGAAACCATGAACCAAAATGGAAATAATGCTGTTATTTCTAAAAATCTTGAAAAGCATGTATCGGTGTGTATACAATAGAAAGGAACAGCACAAAGACATCAAATAGATATTGATTACTTAATAGCTGTTGAATCATTTTCCTATAAATAAAATTGTTTGATTCCTATCTGCACGTATCAGCCGTTCTCTCTTACATACACACCACACAAAACCATACAGGTAACACATATTCTGCTGCTGGTGATAGATGAAGAGAAGAAATTGCTTCACTGGGAAGGAAAGAGGTAGTGGGAGCAAAATTTAATGGCGGTAGATTAAGAGACACTGAATAGGGAAGGGAAGAGAAGAGAGACTTCAGCAATGCAATTAAAATTCAGCATTGAAGTTAAGCAGGCATGCAGCCCCAACCAAAATTAATCTTCAGAGGCTTTCAGGCTTCTTAGCATCTTTGTCTGTAGTCATTCTGAATTGTAAAAACATATACAGTAGGTATTTTCTCCAATTCTTGTTTTTTTAAAAAAATTCTTCTATCAGGGAATCTGAGATGGGAGCAGCCCTCTATTAAAAATATCCTTGTTCTTATTATGGACATCCTTCTGGAGAAATTAGTTCTGCAACCCTTAGAGTAAAAACAGTTCAGCCTGGGAATTTGTAGCAATTTACCAGAATAGTGTATGTAGTCATTTCATGCAAAATTCAGGAACTAATTTGTAAAATAAGGATATCTAAAATTTAATATTGAGATTGCTAGAGAAAAAATTTCAACTATCCAACATTTGACACAAAACACATTTACCCTAATGAAGCCTAGTATGTTTCAATCCCATTGAAGTAAATAGTACTGGACAACCATCATGGAGGTAATTTGTGACCAGGTGAGGGTTTCTGTTCTTTGCTCCTTCACAAGGAAGGGAGTGTAGATATGTTCCTCTCAATTTCTGGAATCTGCCACTGTTATTAATAGAATGTTCTTCAAGTGAGCTTTTATTGCTTCCCTCATCTGTGTTGGCAACATCTCCAGTGATGCCAAACAAACTAAAAATAATTCGCACAGCCAGTGAACATGGGATGTCAAATCCGGTGAGCAAATAATACTTATTGAGAAATGCAAAACGTAATGCCAGTTAAACATTGTATTTTGATAGAGTCTACAATCTCACTTTTGATAAAGGAGTTCTCAAATTGTTTGACCTTATTTGTGTTTGAGATATTTCTTACAGAATGAATGAAGCTACATTTCTCCTTTGTTGTTTATAAAGCATTCTCTTGTTCAGTCATATAAATGAGGCTATGTTAAGAAATTAGTTTGGAGAGTCTATCATGCCTTCTGACATGGCAATTTCCAACTAGATGGCTGATACCCCAAGCATTGTAGCCCAAGCAAAATCTTATTGTGAATTTTTGCCACAAAAGTATCTTTGCTTATATCCTTTATCATTGTTAAATTTCAAAGCTGTCTCATTTTCCATGGTTTTTGAAACCCTGTGGTTTCTGTGGTTAGTCTTTAAATATCTGGGATTTCAGACGTTCTGATCTGCTAAAACTGAATAGGAAACAGAGGAAACTAATAATTGTATTTATCTCGGCAGTGGATCTTTGCCAGCCTGTGCTAGTAAGCCAGATAGAAGGTGATGGCGACCCAGAGCCAGACTGGATCTTCCTGCGAGTCACTGCCCAACATGTTATGGAAGTGGAGCTGAAAGCAGCCAAGGTTTTACACAGCCTGGAACTACAAAGTCTTCAGAAAGCAGAGACATCGGAAATGCACTGGAGAAGAAAGGTGATTTCAGCAGTTTCCATGCACGATTTATAATAAGCAGACTATCCTGTAGACCAGTTTGTCATTGCTCAATGGTTAACTGGATCTGTATATGCCCGTGATGGCGAACCTATGGCACGGGTGCTACAGGTGGCACGTGGAGCCATATCAGTGGGCATGCAAGTGTTGCCATAGCTCAGCTCCAGAGTGCATGCGCATGTCAGCCAGCTGATTTTCGGTCCTTCCGGTCCCACTGGAAGTTGGGAAATGGGCCATTTCCTGTCTCTGGAGGGCCTCCGAGGGGTGGAGGGGGGTGGGGAAGGCCATATTTGCCCTCCCCAGGCTCCAAGAAAGCCTCTGGAGCCTGGGAAATTGAAAAATGAGCCTATCGGGCCCACCGTAACATCACATGCCAAAAGCCGGGGGAGTGCAGGGGGGAGGTTGCGTGTGTATGCACGGGGTGCATTGAATTATGGATGTGGGCACACGTGCCCGCAACCCCCCCACGCTCCCCCTGCTTTTGGCACGTGACAGTAAAAAGGTTAGCCATCACTGGTATATGCATTCTTAATTCTGGGGATACCTGCAGATCTGGTTTACGTGCTAAACTAAGCTGTATTATGTTTGGTTTGATTTTGGCACAACAAGTTGTGTGTATCTGGCCATAGTGCTTGGTAAATTAAGGCTTATATCTTTTACTTTGTATGAATCAAGTTTTGTTGTTTAGTTAGTTTTGGCTTCAAGTGATTTGAGAATCTAGACACTTTCTAGAACAGTCAGTGGTACTCAGCTGAGGGTATATATTTGCTGTCTTGTTTTATCTCTCATTCTTGCATTGTAACCTATACACTGCAGGGCTGAATCAAAATATTTTCCTTTTGGAAAGAAAGCTATCTCCTTGAAGGAAAGCTTCAAAAACTTAATTCCCCCACTTCCATTGATTGCATTAGAATTAGGAAATTAAAAACTAGAACTAGAAAATTCACAGCTAAATCTGGCAGTTCCTGCATATGTGGCTATAGAAATTTGGAAACTGTAGAGAATGGTTTCCCACTTTCTATTTAGTGCTGCTTCTTGCTACATTTTTAATCCCTGGCAATTTATCATCCATAAAATGAGTGGGTTTGGATTTGCAATAGGTTAGATCTGCTCTATTGCCTGAATATTAATTGTGAATATGATTAGAATTAGAATGCATATGGTTCAATTATTTTGCTTTGCTGGAGCAATCTGCCAAGTCCAGCTTAGTGCGCCCAGAACTAACATCGTCTGTGGTGGCGCAGTGTTAGGATGCAGTATTGCAGGCTAATTCTGCTGACTGCCAGTGGTTCAATTCTCACTGGTTCAAGGTTGACTCAGCCTTCCAAGGTCGATAAAATGAGGACCCAGATTGTTGGGGGAAATATGCTGTCTTGGTAAACTGCTTAGAGAGGGCTGTAAAGCACTGTGATATATATAAGTCTAAGTGTTATTACTATCCATAAGCAGCATTGTAGTAGGATCTCAGTGTGGTCTCCTTGATAGTTTCTTTTAAGTTGTTTGGATGATACCTTTGTGTATAAGGTGGCTGCATTGTCTGTTACTTAAAGTGGACAATCTTTGAGGCACAATGAACTGTGTTTAAATCACAGAAAGGCAGCATCTAAGTACTACTTGGAAACTGGGAACAAAAATAATCATTTTGTGAATTTTTTTTTCATCTTGCAGAGGTAAAGTTGCTACTCATTATTAATGCAGGTAGAAGCAAAATGTACAGTATAAGTTCATGAATCTCTTAATTTATAACAGCCACAGATAAGATATTGGGTGGCAGTCAAGCGCATAGGAAAAGTGAGCAGCTGTGTCACTGATCTTTTACTGCTCCTTGAACTTTGTGTAGCTTACATCCATAGTGATATTTAGTGAAGTTTTTTTCTAAAAAAAATATGGAGTTCGTATTTTCTTCTGATGGGAAAATTATTTCTTTTTGGAATCTAGGACCTGGAACGTGAGTTTCCTGTTCTTACCCTTTATTTCGACTATATCAGCAAGGAGCGTCAGAAACGTTGCTATGTAGTATTGGATGATGATCCTGAATTACGTATGCAGGTGAATACAAAAACATTCTAAAATGGAAAGTTGTCTTCCTTTTTTTGGAGGGGGGGGGAGGCAGTTTGAATCTTAATGAATTTTGGAGAAGTGTAATTGCTTCAATCCACTAACTCTTCTGAGTCGGCAAATGGGAGGTCCACAACAGGAAATGAAGACGAAAGTGTCCTCTTAATAGCTAGCTCCCCATCTTCCTACCTTGTGCATAAAGTGCTACATATTGGTCCTGTGATGTCATGACTGATGAACGTCTCTTTTTTCTGAATATCTCTATATAATTCTTTTAAAGCCATACATAGCAATTATGACCATTCACACTTTATTGGAGCAATTCTGTAAACAAGGCATTTTTCTGTCTATAATTTATTTTGCTATTAATACAGTATTATACTTGTTTCCTCTCTCCCAAAAGTAGGCATTCTTTATTCAGGGCGGTTATAAAATGTTATCATATATGAAATACAATACTTATTTTCTCGAACTTATTCAAGTCTTACTGCTCTTTCTAGGATCTACTCAGCGTGCTGGCACCAACTCTGGAGAAAAATAGGAAGAACAGAAGATTGGCAGAAGGTCCAAAGCTCCAATGTCTAAAATGCAAACAAGAATTCCTTGGGTTCCAGATACTTCAGCTACAAAAACAGGTCTCTACAAAAGAGGGTACAGCTTTGTCTGAACAAGGTATGGTGTATAGTCTAAGCTAATATCTTTTTATCTTACTTCTTCTCTGTGCTGTTGGAATAATGGAGTGAGGGGTCCATGACTGATGGCAACAGTCATCAACCGTTTAAGCCCAGAGAGCTCCCTTAGAATTTTGAGCATGTGTTGTGGATTATGAAACAAAATATTATATCACCCATATCTCTGCTTATCTTTTCTGGGGAAATCGATTGTGTCATCAAGTCATTGTTGGCCCTTAGCAACCACATAGATTTTCTCCATGGTGATCTGTCTGTTACTTGGTATTTTGGATTTTCCAGTGCTACATAGACCTATGGCCACCGTAACAGAGTCTATCTACTGTGCTGCTGCTTGTCTTCTTCTTCTCTTTCCCTCCACTTTTCCTAGCATTAGTGTCTTTTCCAGAGAGCTAGGTCTTCTCATAAAGTGTCTGAAGTCGGGTAATTTAAATCTGGTCATTTGTGTCTCTAATGAAAACCCTGGATTGATTTCTTCAGTAATTCATTTGTTTATTAATTGACTCTAATGGTATTCTCGAGAGTCATGTTCTGCTTTCACTTTACATATTACAAATTAAATATTAGAAAATAATTAGTCTTCTGTATACAAAGATCTAGGGAAATAGACATACTGTAAACAAACAATAGAGTTGTTGCTACCAATCATTATTTTCCAAGAAAGCATATGAGGACCATTTGACCTGATTAATTCTTGGAAATAAAATGAAGCTGGTGCTTTGCTGTGCAGTATGCCAACTTTTCATTTATTTACAATCAAAGTTAATCTTTTAATATAAACTGTATTGTGAGACAAGCGACCAGACATATAACAAGAGTCATGTACAAGTCTTAATTTTGATCTGAAATTAGTTGGACTGGTTTCTCTTTAACATTTGTTTGTTAGCATATTTTTTAGATCCCCCACAGAACTGGAACTTTTGAGTTATCCTATATTAGGCCACATTTTAGCTTTTTAGTGTCCTATTTCTGTATTCTGTTATGAATATGTCACAGTGGAATTTCAACATATGAGGTGTTGGATCAAGAATGGAGTGACCAAGCTCAGGTCCCAGGTCTGCTCCCAGCTACCTTAATTACACTGTATGACTCTGAGCCAGTGATTCTAAATCAATTTACTGGGAGGGAGGGAGGGAGGGAGGGAGGGAGGGAGGAGGAGGAGGGAGGGAGGGAGGGAGAGGAAGGAAGGAAGGAAGGAAGGAAGGAAGGAAGGAAGGAAGGAAAGGAAGGAAGGAAGGAAGGAAGGAAGGAAGGAAGGAAGGATGGATCCAAAGTAAGTTACCTTGAGCTCCTAGCAAAATAAGTGAATAAATGTAGCAAAATATAAGAATATGATTTTTGTTTGGTTTTATGTTTATTATCCCTCAAAGGGTAAAATATTTCATTATTTGGTATATTCATTTGCAGCAATATTGCAATGGATTTCTTTTAGAAGGAAAATACTCTGACATTCTATTTGATTACTGAGAAAAATGTTGTTTGTTCAGGATTGTATGTAAAAAGCTAAAGTTAAAACTCTATAAAACACTTGAGATAATTAGCTGGAGATTAAAGAACAGAGTGCAGAATGTGCTGGGTGGCTGGTTCTTGAGATTGGTTGGGGAATGAGGATTTGGGAAAGAACCTGGTATTTGATTTATTGCACTAAGTATGTGATGCAAAGGAATGGTTTTCCTGTCTCTTCAGATATTGCTGCTTCCAGTGAGACCATTATCTGCCCTGGTTGCTCTAGTGATCATGTGGTAATCATACCATGTGAGAGGCCTTCGAATGCTCTAGTGTTTTCTCAGGATTGCTTCAATGAAAGCCAGCAAGAGGCGGAGTCCGGAAAATTTTACATTGGCGATGACAATCATTCTGAAACAGGAACCAGTTCCAGCACCCAGATTCAAGAACTTAGCAATGATCATGGCAGTGCAGCCCATTCCAGTTCTCGCAGTTCTGAAGGAGTGGAACCTTCCAGGAGGGATTTGAGCTCCAAGGGTCGATATTCCTCCCTCAGCCACACAGATACCAATGGAGGAAGCTTGATGGGAAGCTACCATTATGGTCCTTCCTGTGGTCACACCCCTTCCCAGCTGTCCCTGAGCTCAGAGCATGAAGAGCAGTGGAACCTTAGTCCCCGTGAGTAAGCTACCTTCTAACATCTAATATGGGCCTTGGTGTAGTATAAGTATGTGGAATCATGGGAAAGCGATGGCCATGGGAAACCATAGCAAGATCCTCTACTCAGATCCAGTTTAATCCACATTCCCTCCCAGCAACCTCAACATTTTATTCCTTTGTGAATACATGGTTATTTTGCATCAGCAGTAAAACAAGAGCACCACCTGCTGGTAGTTAAGGCACTGTATGCTATTATTTTAAAAGCCTTTAATGATTTTCAGTTGTTACTGTATTTAGAATGCACCCAATAGGTTTGTTCGGTATAGGGTATAAAGCATTGCTAAAGTTTTAATAATAATAGTATAGAAATTGGTAGTGATAAAAGCAGTTAAAACAGTAAAAAAGAAAATTAGGCGTGCTTGCAGCCCCTTAGAACTCTGAAAAACCAACATTTTCTGCCTATTTCCACCCACGGGCATATATGTGATTTTGTTTAAACATTATCGTCTAAGTGAATGTCTGCATCATTCTCAGATTGCTACAAACGAAAATGATGGTTGGGTATGTATGTATGTATGTATGTACGTATGTATGTATTTCAGTGTATTGGTTGGAGTCACTTAACAATGCTAGGTAGGCTATCTATGGCCCCAAAGCATCCTGGGAGCAATTTTCATACTTTTAAAAAGAGTCTATATTTTAAAAAAGTGTGAACGAAAAGTGCATGTTTGAATTTGTCACATAAACCAAATTCATCTGTCTTGTGTGTGGAAAATGGTGGCCATTTCCCAAATTGCACCGCACAACAAAGCAACCTGTTTTGCTTTCCTAAGGCGGTCTGAGCGTTAGAGAAGCAGAATGGATTGTTTTGTCATGTGGCTGTGCGATGTGATTCTGAAAGCAGCTGCCATTTTCCAAGTGACCACAATTCAGTGTGGCCGCTTGGAAAATTCTGCTTCTGAAGTTGCATAAAAGCCTTAAGGCAGCTTAAATGATACTATTGATCACTCAACTCATTGAAACCAATTTATTAATTCTTAACGTTTTCCTTTTTAGCTACCAACAGTATGCTAGGCATGCGAGACTTATTCTCTGTGGACCATAGGCTAAAACTTTATTTAGACATGGAAGTCTTTGAGAAGGCAGAAGAGTTCAAATGTTTTCTCAAGGTATGAAAAGCAATTCTCCATAAAGCTGCTATTGAGAGCATACCTGGAATTATTGTGGCATAATTATTTTAGCATGCTGCTTCTAGGTAGCGGTCGTGAAAAATGGACAGCCTGGGGAGTTCCTGGCCCTCTTGGTGGCTTCAGATGTTCGACTTCATGTGTTGGAGATAACTGGAGAGATAAGGTGAGTAATGCTGTTTTAGGGCTATATCTGTATGCTTAGAAGTTTGTCTTGAAGGTAGTTGACAATTCTATAGCTACCAGTCTTAAACTAATCAAGTCTGTCTGTATCTGTGTTATATGGAATCGGACACTGTAATCATGGGGAAGAGAACTTTCCACCTCTTTGTTTCTGAGATCTTTCAACAGGAGATGCTAGCAGCTGAACTAGGATTTTTATTCATAGAAAACAGTTACCATATCACTGAGCTGTCTCTCCTCTCCCTTTTAGTTTATATTCCATTCTTAAGAACAACCAGAGCAGTCTTCAAAACAAGATAAAATTCCAGTGCAGTAAACCTAACACCTTAATGTTTAAGTATAGCAAAAAGCCTGTCAAAAAAAAAAATAGCATTGAAGATTTAATGTTATATATGCCAGTTGAGCCTTTTTGAGGAGGAAACTCCATACTAATAAAATTATGAGTTTGATCACCACTTAACATATCTTGGATGGGAGAACAAGTTCGTTTATATAGTGGTTTGTTGCAGAAGCATATGTTCTCCCAAGCTGATAAAAATGCAGTTAATCTTTCTCACTGCTATCATTTGCTGAATAAGCATCTTCTATTTTTTTTCCTGGTAGAGTAGACATACCTTGCTATATGGTGACATGCTATTTGGTTCATCTGCCAGGGGACAACCATCAGATTGGCTGAAGAAGGGAGACTGTCACTTCCTGTCTGACATCTCTTGCTTAGAGGTGGGGTTATGTCATCAAAGCTTGCATGTGGAGTTTGGGAATCCCTCTGTCTCCTATACACTGCTGCTTCGCAACCAGAGCCACTGCAGAAGATTTCTCCAATGTTTGACATGTAAGAAAAGATATTGGGCTATATTCACGATCTAAGTTTTTTGTCTGGTTGTCAGCCAAAAGTTTCAGTCTGAAGATAGCTTGTATGATACTCAATTTACACCCAGTTGTTTAAGAGCCATTCAAAGTTACAGTGGCCTTGGAAAGGGTGCTTTACAGCACTTACAACCGATTGCCAAACACCTGTGGATCATGTGATTGTTATCTGCAAGCTTCCCCAGAAAATCAGTGGGGAAGCCAGCAGGGAAGGTTGCAAGCTGTGCTGTCTGCTGAAAGGACTCCCTCTCATCAGGGCTGGCTGAAAGAGCTTCCTACCAAGGAGAGTTGAACTAGACCAGGGTGCAGAAACAGAGCTCAGATCCTGAAGATCCAAACTCTATTCTTGCAGTCTGCCAGAGCAGTTCTCTTCTGTGCATGGAGGAGAATCAAGCTCCTTTCGTGGAGTGGAGAAACAGAGTTCAGATACTGAAGATGTGACCTCTGTTCCTTTAATCTGCTAGAGCAGTCCTCTTCTGCATACAAAGGGGAGCTGAACTTGGCAGTCAGTTCTTTCACTCCCATCTGATTAATGACTCAGGAGATCATTTAACAGCTGCAACTGGGAGTGCTAGGACTGCAGTAGTTGAGCAAAGCAGTCATGTGAGTGTCTCATTTAACTAATGCTTTTCTCAGTGATCATGAATCCAGTCCCAATTGTCCTAAACTGAGGACAATCTGTATTGCTACGTGTTGGTATCAGTAGACATCTATAGACTGTTAAAATTCAGAGGCAGCAGTCTAGTCCTGATACCTTTTTGCTGGAAGATTCACCTTATGTTATCAATGCTTCTTTTAATGTCTTCATGCAGACCTCATAGAAGAACTGCCAACAAAAAGCAAGAGTAAAATCCCAGACGTCACTATGGTAGAAATGAACTCACAGCATTCATTATGGTAAGAAGCTTGTTGCTTTTATACTGTGTAAATAGGTACACTTAGAGTTGATGTAGCATGCCTGGGAGATGTAGTGGGAGGAGGTTCAGTTTCTACAAGAGGCAAATCAAGGCAAGGGATGGTAAGTGAAGATGATGATACTAGATGTATTGCTAATTACTTGTGCCTGTGCCGTAGGCCATTGATTGATAAAGATCTTGCAAGAGAAGCTGTGAGTGGTTCAACCAGACCATTCTTCTACTTACTGACATACCTCATCCAAGGTATGAAGACTGTAGTGTGTGTGTGTGTGTGTGTGTGTGTTTATTTGTGTGTGTGTTCCTTCCATTGTTTTTTCAATGGTAACAAGAATATAGCACAATCTTGTACTTTGGACTTTTATAAGTGACCCAAGCATCTCTTTTTTCCAGGATCTTCTGCATTTCCTGTGACTTTGCTGAGTACTCGTAGTAATATGTTCCTGGTGGAAGAAGATCATCAGTGGCAACAGGTCCAGCCTTCCTCTGGCTCAGGCAGTTATGTTGAGAAACAGCCCAAGGACTGCATCCTGCTGAAAGCAAGTGAGCCAATCAGCAGCATCAGTGGTGTAGTACTTTACCGTTTCTCTCCTTGTGATGTAAAGCTGCAACTTTATGATGAGGTAAAAAAAAAAAAAGATGTGTGAGGTTTCCTTCTAGAATATTAAAAAATTTATGGGTGTGGGTACCATTAAAAAGGGTTGTCAAGATAACATGAGCATTGTTGCATGATTAATTTATCTCTAATTCTACATAACTTTTAGTGTGCTTGAGACAAATTATGCCTCTAGTCTTGGGGAAATTCAGCTCCATTTGAGTTTAGAGTGGAACTTGTATCTAGAAATACATCTTTCCTCCCAACGGAGACCTGTTAACTGCGGTCAGTGTGGAGGCTATTCCTGCTAAATTGAACACATTTCCTTTTGCAGGTCTTAAAGGTGGAAAGCACTTGGCATTTGCGCACAGAATGTCCTGACTTGCTGGCTGAATTGGTAGAATGGCTTCGTGTGCCCTGGGAAGAGATGTTCTCAATTGCTCTCCGTAAGACGATACTAGAAGTGCTGGAGTGAATTGAAGGACTCTCAACTACAACTTTACTGTTCCTCTAGGATTAGATGGGTGGTTCTTGGATCACCTTCCAGTCTTCGTGGCTCATAACAATTTTAAATTTTACTGCCATTGGAAGTTTTAACATTTGGAAACTGCAACTGGGTAATAGGCATCCATCCTCTTTCTTCATATCAAAGATCCTTGGATGTATAAAAATGTCTTCAGTTGACTGTGCATAGGTCTTATCCTGTGCACTAGGAGTCAGGCCAGTCTGGCAGAATATTTTCTATTGTACTGAAAGAGATTCCAGAGTTACTTCAAGACTATTCCTGCACTTGTCACTTTTGGTTGGATAGCAGCTGCTGGAGATTATGGTGGAAGTTACACAAAGGAATTGGATTGTTCGGGATTGTGCATAGAACTGGATTGTGATGGATCAGAAACATGAGCCTGGGAACCCTCACTGCAAATCTGTAAAAATTTCTGACTATTTTGGCTTCATTTTGCAGAACTCATTATCCAGACTGGTCTAGAATTTAGACTGCAATCCATGCCCCTGTGCTGGAAGAATTGTTTTCTGGGTTGTCTTGGTTATTGGAATGGGGATTCTGATAATTTTTGCATATTTTTGTCTCTGGGCATGCAGAGATATTTGTGTACTCAGGGGAAAAGTCACTGGAAGCCATTGCCTTCCCTGGACAGAACAGAGATAAATTTTAAGTGTAAACTTTTATATGTGGTGTTAAATAAAAGTGCTTTTTATGAACTGTTTGCTTTTTCCTGAGATGATTTGGGTGAACATTTTGGAGCTAGTAGCCATATCTGAATTTTGAGAAGATACTGATGCCATAAAAAAAGGCCAGCAAGTAGAAAACTGGGGGAGAATGGCAAGAGGGAAGAAATTAGTTGTCAGACAAATGTAATTAAACTTACATGTTCCAGTTAGTAATGGATAGGATTTCTCAGTGATTATCTTAAATAAAAGGGCCACAAAGGTGAGCTGATTTCCAATGTTTAAAAAACTTTTCCATGAACTTTGTCTCCGGAGAAGGGCGGCATATAAATCGAATAAATAAATAAATAAACAATAAATAAATACGATCAACTCTTCTAGTTCTGTTCCTATCCAGTAGGGAAGGGCTAGTTTGGGAACCTTGAAATGAAATGACCACATCATCTTGGCTTTGAAGAGACGACAGAAAAGAACATAAGATCCTGGAAGTACAATCTCATAATGTGAAACTAAAAAAAACCCAGTAATTTAGGCACAGGGGATGTATACGGAGCTTCTCAACTGAGCTGAGAGTATTAGATATGTTGGCTGCCTTATTTTTAAAAATAATAAAGGTGGCATATAAATAAAAATAAATAAGAGGGATGTATAAGAGAAATGAAAGATGGCTGAACTCACCAAACAAATACGCCATTTTGTAGCAAATGTTTGTAGAAAGAAATATCAAAGTACGAAAAGAAATTAAGTTCAAAACCAACTTAAAACTGCATTACATTATTAGTGAGAGAAGGCAAAAAAGGGAGCTTTGGGGAAAGATGGTATTAGGTGGCAGGGAGATGGGGATGCTTCTCAGTTTCAACTTCATTTCTATCTTCTATGATTAATTGGATGTAAGCAGAACAAGAGATATAAAGAACAACAATAAAAAAAAAAACAGCCAGTAAAATTAGGGAGCATCTGGTTACTACAGTATGAGTGAGTTTAAGCTTTCAGGACCACACCAGTTATACACCTGGCTAGGTGGCTCAGTGGCGAAGACACTGAGCTTGTCGATCAGAAAGGTCGGCAGTTCGGCGGTTTGAATCCCTAGTATAGGTCTCCTTCGTGAGCAGGGGGTTGGACTAGATAACCTCCAAGGTCCCTTCCAACTCAGTTACTGTTACTATACCTGAGTGTTTTGAAGAAGGTTACAGCTGAAATCCTGGAGCCCTTTTATTTATGTGATTTTTTTTTTTTTAATTGTGAGAGATCAGCATAATGTTAAAGGAATAGAAAAAGGCAACTTGTTTGGAACTTAAAGGAAAAAAGAGTGTCGTGCTTAAGAGCACTGGACCAGAAAGCAAGAGACCATGAGTTCTAGTCCCACCTTAGGCACAATGCCAGATAGTTAATTTGGGGCCAGTCATTCTCTTAGCCATAGGAAAGAGGCAAGGGAAAACCACTTTAAAAACCTTACCAAGATAACTGCAGGGACGAGTTCAGGCAGCCACCAGGAACTGACTCAAAGGCACCAAAACAAAGCCAAAAAAAAAAAAAAAAAGGTAATTATAGACCAATCAACTTGAAACTGATACCGGGCAATACTCTGGAACAGATTATTCAGCAATGGCTTATGAGGGTTTTGGGAGAAGAAAAATTATTGCTTGGCAGGAGCCAGCATGGCATTTCAAGATCATATCAAATCCACCTAATAATCTCTTGTTTTGTTTTTCGTTAGAATTATCAATTTAGCTCATCATGGGAAGTGGTGGAGAGGGAATAATTTTGACTTTGGCAAAAGTCTGACAAAGTCTCTCATGAGATTCTAGTATAGAAGCTGAAAAAATGTGGACTGGACTAAGCCATCAGGATCAGGAGAAACCATTGATTCTGGGCACTGATTGGGTCATGCCTAGATACTGTGTTCAATTCTAGCCAATGCGTTTTAGGAGATTTAAAAAAAATAGCAATGTCAATGGTGAGTGACCAAGCAAAGCCTGGAAAGAAATATTTATGAGGAACAGTAGGAAGCAGAAGTACATTTAGCTTAGAAAAGAGAGCAGGAAGACATGATGGCTGTCTTCAAGTATCTGAAGGACTATCATATAGAAAGAAGGTAAACTTGTAGCCCAAAGACAAACAACAACGAGTTAAATAACAAGGAAGCAGATTTTGATCAGAGATCAGAGTTTCCTAATTATAAGGGAAGGCTATTGCTGAGCACATTGTAAGCCGCCCTGAGTCTTCGGAGAAGGGCGGCATATAAATCAAATTAGAAAAAAAAAAAAAAGAGCTACAGGTAGTCCTTGACTTGTGACCAGTCGCTTAGTGACCATTCAAAGTTATGACAGACCTCCCCAAGGCTAATGACCCAAATTCAAAGTTCTGACATCATCCCACATGACCGCAGTTTGTTTCTCACCAGAAACTGGCATTAAGTTCGTTTCTGGCAAAAAAAAAAAGCCTATTGGGATACAATAGGTTTGCTTAATTACCTTAATTCATTTAATGACTGCGGCCTTCACTTATTGACCATGGTGCTTGCTTTGTAAAATGATGGTAAAATTGGGTGTCAGTCATGTGTAGTCTGGCACAATTTACAACCATAATTCCAGGCTCAATTATGGTGATAAATCAAGGTGTCAGCCTCATGATGCTTGCTTGCTTTCGGCTGCCATTGTAATGGGAGGGGGGAGGTATTGTAGGTATTTGGGAGGTGGGGGGAAGTGAGCTGGTGGAGATGTCTTGGAAAAGGGAGGAAAATTCTCACCGTCTTCTTAGCAGCTGCGGAGAGAGCTGATAACTGTCAAGGTCCCGGCATACCAGAAGGATGGGCCACCTGAAGAAGTACCCCACATGACACCTTGGGGAGATGTGGATTCAACCTGGGCCCTTCGGGGGAGGGGTTTGGGGATGCTTTCAATATGTAATTTTCGCACCTATTGCCTCAGACTTTTCTTTTCTTTTGCTGCATTCAGTTCATACTCAGTAAAAATACCTTTCTCTACAAACATGGAGTTGGGGTTTTCCTTTCTTGAGTTTTGAATGGAGGCGCACCTGACACAAGGACTACTTGTATTCAAGAATGCAATACTGTAGATGGTTTCCAGAGAGTGGATTTTCCTTTGGTGCAGGTGGATGTCTATATCTTGGGCATGCTGCAATGATACATCTCAAAGGGATTTCTAAATCTTAAGGGATTTGACCAGATGACCCCCAAATTGCTTTTCATCTTTTATATATTATGATTCTATGACTGTTAAACTGCTGAGACTTTTGATTCTTCTTGCTTGTAAGGGATTTTTTTTTAAAAAAAAAGCATGCAACCTAACTACGAGACAGACATTGATAGTTTTGTGTTATTCAGACTTGGGTCTATATGGAGTGATGCAACCACCTTCCTAAATTTCATCCCTTCCCTTTGTTCCTCTTTTTTCTCATCATGTTGAATCCCTTCTATTCAGAATGAGATGAAAATAAACACATTTTTTTCTCTCCTGTATCTGCTTGGAAAGCACACTTGACAAAAATGTGACCTGTTCCTTCACAAATGACCTGAACATAGACATCACAGTATGTTAGATGACCGCTTAGCTGACTTTCTGCATTCTGGAGAACAAAGCCTGCCTTGATCTTTAGCCCTGGCTCATAAAAAGCTGAAGTAAGACTGCAAGAGTGGATTTTTTTTTGTTAGATTCTATAAGGATATTGCATAGGCCTCCCCCACAGCAGCTGGTCTTTTGCAATCTACTAGACTTGTGGGAAATACCCAATGTTTTAGGGACAAGTTTCTATCTTCCCTCTAGAAAGCTGTACTTGGTCCTCTTGAAGTAGCTCTTGAACCAATAATACTATTGAGTAGCCCTATGACAAGACAGCAAATAAACTACAAATAAATAAATGCTTTACAGAGATAGCCTTTATTAAAACATGGATACTTCTTTACAATGAGTGGTCGTTCAGAATTGTTCCCTTGGGTAAAAGAGCTATGTGCAGTTGGCTGTTCATCTGTAGCTGAGGTAGGACTCAGAAGGACTCCTTTGGGAAACTTTGAAGAACTGTCAGTGTTAAGATAGATTAGCCAATGGTCTTATTGCATAGAAAAGATGGTTCCATATCAACCCTCCCTGTAAACGGCCTTTTGACTGCTAGATCAGCAAGTGGAGACAAAGCAACAGTTCCTAGTGTAGTTAGAGCTACTGTGCTGCATTTGCTCCATCAAGGTATTCTTCTAAACTCAAAAATATTGACCATGGTGGCTATGACAGCAGTTGGGCACCTTTCAAGAACAGGATCACACTGAATACCAAGTCAAAAACTATGATTTACAAACAAGAATAGCTGAGTTCACAGCTCTCTAAGTCAATGCCAAACTGTGTTAAGAGTTTAGAACAATATGCAAATCACTAACATGAACAGTGATAACATTAGAAGTCTGGTCCAGTGGTTAAGGCACCAAGCTAGAAACCAGGAGACTGTGGAGTTATTAGTTATGTTTGTTGTCTTGAGTTATTTAGAAAAATAATAAAACATTAAGACTATCCCTTATTCATCTCTTAGAGATATGTCTGTATAATTTTTTTTTATCTCAAAGCTTTTTCATCTTTAAGATTCAGAGTATAGAGAAAAATTGAATGTTGGTTTTTTTTACTAGCAAGTCTGGGCTGGTAACTTTCCATAGCTTAGATCAACTACTAGATAATCAAAAGATGCATGTCCCAACTAAACCACAGTGTGGTGCTCCTGTAAATCCTTGTTTGAAGAAGGAACGTGGTAAACAATGTAATAAACTGAGCAGCCTAAAATGGGATAGTTATGAGTTAGCTTTATTGGAAAATTCTGGCAGATTATATTTCTGTGTGTGTGCAGGGCTGGGGGAGGGGTTGCTTCCCTACTGCTTCCTCCTTGTTGCATTTATAGTTTATTTAGGCTAGCATTAGGGGGTTTAGTGACACTCTGTTGTTATACTATTAAATTACCATCTTTTTCACCTTGAATTCCTCAGATCCTATCTTGGAACAGTACACATTTGGATGATGGGCTGGGAATGTGTA